GAGGGGGCAGTGTGACGATAATAGATAGTACTGTTGGCGCCATCTATTAGGAGACTCTCCTTCCCGTACCAGTGACTCGCCTTCTAGATCTACGCCAGGTGACCTCAAATATTCTAGATGCCGCTTTGTCGCTCGCCATACCTCTCTCGAAGCAGCGATTCGGAGTATATATAACTCGACGGCCGGGAGATGGAAGCACGGTGCGGGGTACATTAGAGTAGAGCGGAGTGGAGTGCAATCAATGGCGCGGCATAAGAATTAGTTAGACATAAATAGTGGTGTACATAAATGTTCTATCTGGTCAAGTAAAGTAAAGAAGTGCATTTATTTTTGTGGAATCTCGAGTTTTAATCCACACCCAAAAGAACCCAGAAAAACACCATTATATTCTGCGGTACAAGGGATTATATATTGAATGTATTTCGAATAAAAGACCATCCGCCTTTTGATGCACCAGGTAAGTATTCTAGAAATATAAGTTAACGAATGCAACAAATTCTTCAAAAGGCAACCCTAGCTTAAACTCATACAGATGTCACTCTTTATTGACAAAGTTTAATTCTGGCAAATCAATATTCTCGTCTACAGCTTAGACTATGTGTGTGGTGTGGACATGTAATTATATTTTTCAATACAATACATCTGGTAGTAACAAACAGCATGTGACCACAAAGAATACTGCAAAGCTTGATCGTGAGACTGAAGAACTGAAACACGAAACCATTCCATTGGACGTTGGCAAGTTGATTCAGCAAGGGCGTCAAGCTAAAGGACTCAGACAGAAGGATCTTGCTACAAAAATCAATGAGAAACCACAGGTGATTACTGATGAACGGATTGCGAGCAAGAGGGTCAGCGTGTCGCGCGCGCCAGAAGGGCTACATATTTTAAGTTTAATTAAGATTCCCTATTTCCAATAAGTTTATATCTATAGGGGTTCAGTGAATACAGTGTCTCGCAACTTAATCGTGGTATTATTGTCTCAGCCGTTACCTTACCCTTGATGGTAGAGAGTCTCCCCAGAAACAGCTGAGTCAAGTCGGGATTATACACTTGTTGCCTCTTGGCCTACTGAGGCAAAAAAATGATTCCACCTGACAACGAACATGTGTTCCACAAAGACAACAATAACATGACGAGATAATAAATATCCATACGAGCTTGCCAGGTAAAATAGACCTTTGGAAGCTTACGGTCAAGAACAATATACAAAATTTCTTTGTATTGATGAACATTGGTCAGAAAATTATCAAATTTAGTGCACCTGCATAAATTAATTTTCACTGGTTTGTAGTATTTGCAGATCTGAGAGCAAGTGTGGTGGAACGGCCATCTTTGCCCATGAGTCTGTCATCTCCGAGGTCTGTCCTATCCATATTATCAACGAGCTGACGAGCTCTCTTTGGAATTTGATTGAATTTTCTCCAGTTAAAATTCAACGTTTTTGTCTGATTAATATATATATATATAATAACTTGAGACGTGGTCATTGTCGTCTAGACCAGTTAGGTGAAAAATTAAAGCTTCCGCCTTTTGTTGGGTACTTCGAGAAAATTTAAGCAAAGAGGACTCTTTATACTTGTTTTAATTCTTTCTAGCTTTCAATGGACTTTGCCATCATCATCAGTAACTGCAATTACAATGATAACAGTGGCAACAAAAGCGTAAAATGAATTTAAATTGAATCAACTTACAGTAGTATGTGAGGATGTTGCTAATTGTTGTTTTCGTATAGGATGAGGGAAACGTCCAGTAACATGGTGAGAGCTGGATACATGGTGCAATGGTTAAAATTATATAAAATATGACAAGACATGTTAAAGACAGATTAAAAATTATTTAGAAAACATTAGAGCATTACGTCGTGAAGCCATTTGATGATTGCACAAAATGGTGGTCATGGAATAATGAGTGAGATGAACCAACAATTAGCAACATCCTCACATACTACTGTAAGTTGATTCAATTTAAATTCATTTTACACTTTTGTTGCTACTGTTATCATTGTAATTACAGCTCCTGATGATGATGGCAAAGTCCATTGAAAGCTAGAGGGAATTAAAAAGAGTATAGAGAGTCCTCTTTGCTTAAATTTTGTCGAAGTACCCAACAAAAGGCGGAAGCTTTAATTTTTCACCTATATATATATACCTGATGCAGGTAATTTTGAACTTTTTTAAGTCTAGCAGTTCTGAAGATGAGGAGATACTGCATGTGGAGAAAGAGATTTGGAGGAGACTTGGAGACATCCGAGTCACTTTCTAGGATATCTGGAGACCTGGAGCCTTTGGATGGACAAGCCACTTCAGCACGTGAAGCAACCAAAGAAGGTTCGGACACCAGGATAAACCCGCTACCAAACATAAGAGACACAAGGAAGCTTCACGGGAAACGTCTAAGAGCCGATCGCCTACTGCGTCCTGCTGTAAACGATTTGCTAACTTTGAAGGGCAAGTCAGTCAAATATTGAAGAATTCTGTTTCTAGTTTCTTAGGGAGCATGATGGACTTAACGATCGGGCACGTTAACATTGAACTTAATAGATTTTTTCGATTCTTTCTGCTTCTGTTTTCAGACATGCTTTCCACTATTATCCAGAATCAGAAAATCAAGGAAAAAAATGCCCGATATAAAGAGAAGAGAAAGGTCATACTTGGTGTCGAGGATCGAACTTGAACGAGATGAGGAAGCACATAAAAATTCTATCAAACGTAAGAGGAAGGAGTAGACGATATCCGTTGAAAAGAATGGTGGATAGTCACGAATAATTAAAGATCTGCTGGATAAGGTTGTAGACAAAAAATCTGTGCTTCAGGTGCAAGTAAACAAAAAAATATCAGGGTGCAAGGCATTTTAAAAGAGGTCTGAAAAAGACCTAGCGTTCCAATAACTACGATCTTGGAAATAACCTCGGACGATCACGATGCTATTGCAGAAATTGCGACAAAGCAATGGACTGAGTCAACCTACAGGAGGACCAAGTGATTGATAGGAAAACCTCTGTTGGGAAAGTACGGACTGCAGGGATCTGGTGCTGTGCATAGAGGCGGGACAGAGCACAGCAGGGTTTTTCCTACCTCAAATAGAATAGACCAAAAAGCTACTTCTATAAGGTAAAACTGCTACCAATATAAGGAAGGGAAAAGGAACACTGAAGCTGTAATTGTGTCTCCCAGATATATCCTCTGCTGATCTCCTGAGGAAACCTAACACGAGGCTAAGTTTGACGAACTCAGAATAAGTGGATAATGTTAGATCAAATGGAAAGATAAAGATGCCAACTAGCTATTCAGTATTGCAAAAAGAGAATACATGTCAAGAAAATAACTAAAGCTAGAGGGTACAAGGGGCTACACTTTACCTGGTGTAAATATCTACTAGTGCTACTTGTCGCCATATAGCCCATACAAGGAATTGAAGACTACCTCGAAATACTTGGAGACATTTTCTAGAAGCTTCATGCTTGGAGGTACCCAGGTCGTCTCTTCTAACTCACTAGCCTACCTAGGGAGTTACCATAGACAAAGTGAGGTCATTCAGGCAGCATATACACGCGGGTACCATCAAGGCAAACAAAGTTTCGGCCAAGCTTGCACGATCATGTCCAACCATCGACATATCAAAGGTTATGACCTGCCGTTCGCGTTTTGAATGTGACGCCGGCGCAGTGCAAGAGAGACAGCACGTGAAGGATAGAGCTACGCGGGCAAACGTCGTACGTTAGATCTGTATTGTGCATGTGTTTCTTTCACTGTGGAAAGCTTTTACGCATATTTTTGCCTGTGAAATTAGTTTTAATTGTTGATTTTTCACAACTTCAAACCAATTACAAGATGGTGCAGTCTTGTTGTGCTATAAACTGTACGACCAGAAGAGAAAAGGGGTGAAATTAAAATTTCTGAGGTAGGTTATGGCCAGTGGTTATGGCAAAGATTACAGAATTAAATACAGAAACTTTGGTCATGAAAAGGCTATAACTAGAGTTTTCTACTTTCAGTATACCCAGGATCCCGCAAGGAGGAAACAGTGGTTAGTTGCCATAAGAAGGGAGAATTTTAATTCGAGTGATAGGACAGTTATATGCGAAATCACTTTACAAAGACGATTTTGAGCTGAATGTACATGGAAATACAGTTCTCAAGAAAACTGCAGTGCCTTCTTTTTTTAATTTCCCCGTACATTTACAGCAAAAAGTAGTAATAAGGAGACCTTTAAAACGAAAGATATCTGATAACAAAGGTTAGCACTTAGTACATAAGTAATGACTAACCGTCTATTGATTAATATTATTTACAGAACATTGTGCTATTGCCAGTACATCAGGCATAATACTGAACCAGTATTAGGAGTTATGTCAAGTGAATCTGTCAGTGCTGAAAATGAGGATATAGATTCTGAGCAAACCTACTACTACATCTCAAATGGAATTTCCTAAAAGGTAACAGGGATAACAGTTATTGCTATTTTATTTTTCTATCTACCTTGCTTACCTAAGCATTTATTAAATGAATTTACAGATCAGAAATTAGTTTCTTTCATTATGTGTTAAATGTTTCTTATTGTTTTAGAAGACGAAGAGATCCAATTTTCTTTGGGGACTTCAAAGAAAGTGATTTAGATGATGTGCAGAAGTGAAAAAGATTTTGGAAGGTAGCTCATCATACTATAGCAAAGTCTAGGAGAAAATATCAGGTATTATCAGTGCATAGCCAGAAGACAAAAGAAGAAGATAAAAAGCCTTAATTTATTGTTGGACGAATTGATGGAAAAAGAGAAAATTTCATCACAGCAGCTCATGGTATTGAAGGTAAACTATTTATTTTTTTGCATCACACATAGTTGGTTAGTTTGTTTCTGTAATACTTAGTAGTTTGCATCTTGTTCTTAATGTTCAACTGCTGCACAATAAAATCCTTTGATCAGTAGAATAATTACTTGCTCATGGGAAGAATGCGAGGCACATACACACATATGTATAGTTTGATTGTATAGTATGTATATATGCTCCATGAAAAAAGCAGCGCACTAACAGGCTCCATTACCATTGTTTAAGCAAGGTTCGTTTTTATATTTCTAGGAAAGTATTCCTCAAGATACAACAGCCATTACTGTTTAGGCACCTCAAAAGGGCATCAAAGGAGGAAAATATAGCCCTCAACTGAGATGCTTTGCTTTAACATTAAATTTTTATTCTTCTTCTGCATATCAGTATGTTAGAAAAGTGTTTGGCAAAAATTCTCTCCCGCATCCTAGAACACTAACAAAATGGTATTCTACTGTAGATGGTACACCGGGTTTATTGCAGAAGCAATAACGGGCTGTCAAAATGAAAGTTGACTTTGAAAAAGGAAAAGGAAAGCAACTATAGCAGGTCTTGTGATTGACGAGATGTCATTCGTGAGCATGTACATTGGACTGGTAGTAGGAATGTTGGATACATTGATTATGGAACTGGTATGCAGAATAGTGACCAAGTTACCCACAATGCAAACATGTATTTGTGATAATGCTTGTAGGTTACAATACAAGGTGGAAGGTTCCCATTGCTATTTTTAGTAGATGCTTTATCTGCTGAGAGAAGGCAATGTAATTAAGGGTCTTTCCTTCAGTTGGAAACAACTGGGGTGCTGATTAAAAGTACACATTTGATGGGTTGTGCATCCAACATTTCGATGGCAAATTTGCTGGGAGCAAAGCTCAAGTTTCCTGGAATGAACCATATTTCATAAACCCTAGGATAAGGAAAAAGTACATATCATTTTGGACGCATGCCACATGATTAAATTAGTACGTAATACTTTGGTGATTGGGGCTATTATGTGATGGAAATGGAGATTCCATTAAATGGTATTATTTTAAAGAACTGGTGAAGCTGCAAGAGGAATCAGGGCTTCATTGTGCCACTAGACTAAGGTCTCGACATATTAACTATTACAAAGAAAAATGAAAGTGAAGCTTGCTGTCCAGACCTTTAGTGCTAGTGTTGGTGATGCCCTAGAATACTGTAATCAGGACTTGAATATTACAAAATTTAGAGGTAGTGAAGCAACTGTTTCTTTCTGTCGAAAAATTAACAATATTTTGACGTTTTAAAATGTTAGAAATTTCTATGGGAAAACTCCTTGTAAAAGGCCTCTTTTCAGGGAACAGCGAAACCTTCAAAATTTTATCAAAAGAATCTGTAGAATAATTTAAGTTCATTGACAGATCAAAAGCACGATAAGTAATAGAAACAGGCAGGAAAACTGGTTTTCTAGGACTCATTGTTTGTTTGTAAGTGTTAGGAATTTATTTGAAGATGTGGTTGAGGGTGATAAGTTACAGTTTTTATTAACTTATAAGCTAAGTCAAGATCATCTTGAAATGTTTTTTTCAGCAATCCGTTCAAGGGGAGGCTTTTCGAACAACCCGACTGCCTGGCATTTCGAAAATGCATATAAAAGACGCTTAATTCTATTAGTGAAATAACTACCTCAGATAGTGCAAATTGTCTGGCACAGGACAATACCTCGATTTTAAATATTACCATTGAAAGCAAAAATAACTCATTTTTACTACTGACTTATTAATGTACAGACAGAATCTACAGATGCGGAAGATGAGTTTTCATTAAAACTATAACACAATTGCCAACTGCAACATATAGTGGTGACATTGTTGAGTATATTGCTGGGTTTATCAGCAAGAATTAGTTAAAGCATTAAATGTAATGAATGTGCTAATGCTTTAACTTCGGACAATTCTTTGTCGCTGCTTTTAAATAAAAAAAATCGAGGAGGTCTCTGTAAGCCATCCAGAGATGTTGTGAAAGTGTGCATATGTGCAGAAGGCTTAATCAAATCAGAATCAAACTTTTCTGCTCTAAACCTTATGCTAAAATTGATATCTTTGTCGATAAGGAAACTCAATTTCGACACACTATTCGTTGGCTTGAAAAGTCATTTCCAGGATCAGGATCCATTACAGAGCCATTGCCTGCAATTAATTAGGCTTATATTAAAAAATTACTTTTCAATTAGAATACACCACATCAACACTACAAAAAATGAACCGCGCTATAGCACAAGGCAACATCTGACCAAAACTATCACCTTTAGCCATCAATAATTCTTTTTTTTATATAGAATAACTTTTTGTAATATCAATAATTATCATTAAGAATTGTTCATACTGTATTCTGTAGATTAATATTATATATATATTATCGTTTTGTTATCGAGTAGAAGTATAAAAATCCCATTCCCTTTGCCTAATCTATTTTATAAAGATATCATAACTTTAAAACCATCCAAATCCTGTTAAGCGCGCGGCTTTTTGCCCGCGTTAGCTCCGTCTCTCTCTCGGATGTTTCTTTCTAACGTTGGCTGCAAGCAGCTGTACGTACAAGGATAGGTACGGGCGGGTCCATAACCTTTAACATGTCAATGTGTCCAACACACATGGTCCAAGCAGTGAGTGCCGCAAGGTGTTATACAGGGTAGTGCAGCCAATCATCCTGTAGCCAGGGCGTTTACGATGCTTTTCAGAAATCGCGGGGATTTGGCTAAAGAGGTACGGCGCTCAGCTATTGCGGTACCCACTCCCGACTTTGCTAGAAAGGAGAGGATCAAAAAGTCCCTTGAATTCGTGTTCACCGGAACAAACATACAAGTTAGGCTCCAGACTCCTACCGAAGACCAAGCCAAATCAGCTAATATCAAGGAGCTGCCACCAAATACAAGGAAGGAAAAAGGTGATGGAACACTGAAAATCGTAGTTTTTGTCTGCAAGGATATAACCTATGCTGATCTCCCGAGGAAAGTCAAACACGCGGCTTATTTTGACGAACTCAGAGTAACAGCGAAAGGGCGGAGGAGCATACCAATTAACAAGATAGTGGCAGGGCAACCCTACAAGTCCGCAGTATGGCAGGTCTACTAGTGAAGACAAGCGGCATCTGTACTACCTCTCCGAGGACGTATAAATCAAGTCCGTCATTTCTGGACCAAATTCGCAAAGTGGACTAGCTCTAAACGGCGCCGATGTCCGACAGCGTCCCGCCGAGGGTGTGCACGGACATCAGTACCTCTGAGGACGAGGAGGAGGTTCGACCTCAGTCATGCTCAGTAGAATTCAATCTGCGAAGAAAAGTTGAAGCATGTTCTGTGCGTCACAGATTATTACAAAATTTCATTTACCGTCGTCGATAACTTTCTCAGGATGCTTATCCACCGCGAGACCAGACTCATTCGGATAGCTCTCAGAAACCCTGGGCGCTGAGGATCACCCTGCCGAAGAGGCACATGTCATTCTTAGTGAAGACTAGCAAGACCTGAAGGACCTAATGAATTCCACCCGGACCTCCCGACTGTGACGATCATATCGGGGTAAATCTGCATATTCAATCACAATCGCTTAAGAGAATGAATATGCATGCCTTCATTTTGCTACCAGACAACTGTAAAGCAGCAGAAAAAAATTCTTGAGTTGTGGACCAGCAGTTCTGAAGATGAGGAGAAACTGTAAGTGGAGAGAGATTTTGAGGAGACTAGGAGACATCCGAGTGACTTCCTAGGATATATTCATCCTTTGGATGGATAAACCACTTCCGAGCATGAAGCAACCAAAGAAGATGCCTGGAACACCCATCATGAGCGAGATAAACTCGCAACCAAACACATCTAAGAGACCAAGGCAGCTTCAATCGACCTGGACGTCTAAAAGGCGATCGGCCCTACTGCGTCCTGCTGGAAAACGATTTACTAACTTTGAAGGGAAGTTGAAATCATATATCTCACTGGAGATGACACCGATAAAGAAGCGGAACATATAGAATGAATAAAGATGAGAAAAACTAGAAGGATAATATGAAGAGAGAAAGCAGAAACTATAATAGTAAAAAGATACAGGGTGCGGCAGAGAGGATGGTCGTTTTAAAAAATCATAAAATAGTTAAGTTTTACTCGAAAACAAATTTATTGATGGAATCAGTGTGGGAAATCACATCAGTCTTGTGGTAGCCGAAACCGTTTGATGCAGTGCTGGAGGCGTTCTTTGGAAGTTCGCGTAGACTCTCTCCAACATCGCTCTCCTCAACTTGCGCGACTACCACGCGAATTTCGCCCTTCAATTCGTCCAGAGTTCGGGGCTTGTCCGCGTATACTCTAGCCTTGAGGTGTCCCCATAGAAAAAATCGCAAATGGATAAAATCTGGGGACCGAGGAGCCAATGAACATCGCCAAACCTGGAAATAAGGCGACCAGGGAAGAGAGGGTGAATAACTTCCATGGATGCTCGGGGCTGTGTGGGCGGTCGCCCCATCCTGCTGGAACCACACACGTCGGATTGGAACACGTCGCCGTCGTAATTCAGGAGAGAAAGAAGTTGGTGATCATGTCGACGCAGCGCTCTGAGATCACGGTAACATCACGACCATTACCGTCTTCGAAGAAGTAACGGCCAATGATGCAAGTTTGCGATACGATAGCCTAATAACGACAATTCTGCTGGTTAACCACGCTGTTTAGATGAAAGTGGGCTTCGTCACTCATAAACAAATGAGGTTCTCATTTTGATCAATCAGTGCTTACATCTCACGTACGAAGTTCATTCGTTGTGCATAATCTCCAGGCTGAAACTGTTGCACAATGGACAATTTGTAGGGGTGAAAGCGGAGATCCATATGCAAAATTCACCTTACCGAACGATAACTAAGGCGAAGTGGAGCAGCATGTTTCCGGGCAGATCGAGTCGGACTGCGAAGAAAGACCTGTCGAACGCGCGTTCAACATTTTCAGGAGTTCGAACTGTTCGCGGCGCTCCTCTTGGTCTTCTGTTGATCAGTTCACCACGCTTGCGAAGTAATTCAACTCAACGAAGGATGGTGTTTCGAGAGGGAACAGCTCTATTCCGATGAATGTTGAAGTGGCGACGAAACTCACGCTGTACGATGATGACTAAATCATTATTTCGGACGAAACAATCATAGGCGAAAACGCGGTTCTTCACCGTCCAAGGCTCCATAACGGCAACTGGTAAAATAATGCTAGGATCTCATGAGTCAAACGGCACCCTCCCCACCTCTCTCGGAGACGGAGGCGGAGGTACTACCCATCCCAAAAACGTGCGTCCTCTCTGCCGCACCCTGTATGAAATGTGTCAGCGACATTCCAACTAAGAAAATGAGTAACCCCAGACCTGGAGACCGTGACCCTGCCTCAGTGGACCTAGATCTCTTCATTGATTTTCTTAGAAATAAGGAATGCACACCGCTATTGCACACAGACTTGCAAACTCGCAAGGGGTCTTCCCGGTAATGCAAGCATATCGTGAAATGCCAATATAACTAAGGAGCTTAAAATTGTCTACGAACGAAATACCACGGATCAGCTTCGTGATACGGCTGCGAAAAAAAACAGGTAAGCGTAACCATAGGAAATCTACCAAGGTTGCCTATAACTCAGCCCGACGGTCTATTAATATGAAGAAAAGAAAAGTCTTGCGCTGCTAAACTTAGCTTTCCTGCTAAAAAGGTAGCTGAGCGTTCCCGTAAACGCATGTCTTTCACCTGATCCAACCTCAGAATGTCGAACTTATCGTTAATGTAGTGCAGGTACCTGGGGTAAAGACTCAAATCCAGACTAGTGCACTAACCAGTTAGCCAGTTACAGCGCATGTCAGAGACTAGGCCAGCCTAGGATATCTGAGTAGAAACGAGATAATTCGAGTACATCTTCGCCAGTCACTGCTGTATCAAAAAATCATAGCCTTCGACACTGATAAACATTCTATCATCAATCAACAAGTAGTACCAAAAATGACAGTCAACCGTCAAGAAGCCAGTCAAACACCAATATTGGATATGCCACAAGTGACATGTGAATGAGCCAGCGATCTGGCACAGCAAAAAGTCATCTGCCAAGCCACAGGATATGGCAAAGCGAGTAGTGCCTGCAATGATGGTGATGAATCCACAAGGAGTCTGTCCTAAGATTAAACTAACACCAGTAGTCGGTGCAAGGATGTAAACCCAGCTCGCCCTCCACCCAAGTAGCTGACCGAAGTATGCTACACATTCATCCCGGCTGGTTGACGTCAGAGGAATTTATCATAGGGAGGGCTGAGACAGGGAGGAGTTCTGAGCCCGATATTATTCATTATGATTATGGATGATGTAATAAAGGCCGTCAAAGCGAAATTAAAAAAGTACATGTCGGTTTCTAAAAAATGAGGCCAATAAATATTTCAGAGTGCTCAATCGCGGACGACCTGTTATTGTGCCTAATACCCCAAAAGACACAAGATAACCTTAAAATCTGGATCCAGGATTATCGAAGAGAGGTTTGAATTTAACGTATCTAAAACAAAACTGATGACGACAGCAGAGGGGAATGGAATAAATATGTTATTAAGGGCGCCCGTATAGAACAAGTCGAAGCTTTCAAATATCTAGGAGGGTAGTACAAGGCGATAGAACAATAGAAGAGGAAATCAACGAAGATTAATGCACGCATCTAGGCTCTATCACACAATGAATACATCTTTCTTAAGGAAGAAAATGATAAGCAGAAAAATAAAGATGACCTTGTACAGAGTAGTATTCAGACCCATATTGACATTTTTGAGCGAGAGCTGGGTATTAACGAACAGGCAAAAAGCAAGTTACAGGGACATGAAATACCTCAGGGCAGTCAAAGGGGTCGCTAGGAAGGAAAGACAAATTAGAAACGAAGTTATTAGAGAAGAGCTGGGAGTGGAATCTGTACTACAAAGGATTGAAGACAACCAATTAAAATGGTTTGGGCTTAGTAAGGCTGAAGGAACAAGGCCAGTAAAACTCATATAGGAGCAAGTGTTCAACAGAAAACGGCAAGAGGGCGCGACCGAAAAGACGTGGAAAGATGGATTGGCGAAAATACTCAAAAACAGGGGAATAAGTTGGAACGAAGCAGTGGCTAAATTTGTATACATATAATAACTAATAGTTTTAGAGAATGAATAATCTAATTGCACCTTACACCTACGGGTATATAAGGTTTTAGATAATATATATATATATATATTATATATATATACTTGTCGTCCAAGATATGACGTTATGCGCTTGTTAAAGTCGACAGGTTGCGTAATATTGCATTAATAGACACGAGTTTTATATCTCTAATAATTTTAAATTCATTTTAACTTAAAATTTATTTTTATACGATTTTCTTAAATGCTGAGACTTGGTTTATTTAAAGCAGTTTTCAACCTTGCTTGGAAGGTTATCAAGTGGAATTTTTTGCTTTTCGCGCCGGTTCATTGGTTTGATAACATGGACGTTTGATCTATTCCGGGGGTAAAATTAACTTCAAACGTCTCTAACTTGGAGCCAAGGGTTACAAAGAAACCTCTGAAATTAGAAATGGAGTCACATATCTACCTTCCTTTTTCAGTTAGATGAACCAGCTTCCAATTCCTGAACCACATCTTTTTGGATATCCTGATGTGTTCGCGACTAAAATGATGGGTCCAGTCCAGGTTCCATATCAAGGTTTTGCTCCACGGCCAGCTCCATGACAAGGACCTTATCCTTACCCGATCCAGTTCTACACCAACCATGTTCCCATTATGCAAATACGGTCCGCTCTTTTCTGTTGCTAAGACCTTTGAGGTAACTTAATTCAAATTGGATTGTGTGGATTTACGTATGTTAATCAAAGGTTTAACTTTTGGTCAGCATATAACTAGAAAAAAACGTAAGAAGCGTTGGTTACTTATGGCTTCATAGTAAGGACTGCAGACATTTACATATAATAAAGGCCATTAAGCTGTTATTTATTTATTGCCACAGAAATTTTACATTATAAACTCCATAAGGAGATACATAGTAAATCCCTGGAGAGAGAGGGGGATTAATACCTCTGTGCTCAGGAGCCATAAAAAAGATTATGTACTAAACTAAAATTAATATAAACAATAAAAAAATTATATAAAAGTATAAAGAATTTCATAAGCATAGGGTGTTTTTCAAAGTCGAGTCATTTTAACAGCTTGTAGAACTCGTCAAAAGTAGTTGATACATCAGAAATCACCTATATAAAAGTTGCATAATTAGAGAGTTAGTTCACATTATCAAAAAATGTTTAAGAAAAATCATTATCAAGTTAAATTGATACCATTTTTACAAAAAGTGTTGAAAATTGTCCCCATTTTCCAAGCTTCGAAAATAAAATATTGGTGTCTGCGAATTAAATCACAAGCATTTTCAGTGCGCTGTTGAAGTCCTTCCAGAGTATTTAGAGCTCCATCACGGTACACCAACTCTTTAAATCAACCCACAGAAAAAACGCAAGGCGATAAATCCGGACAGCGAGCAGACCAAGAAATGGCTCCATTGCGTCCTATCCACCCTTCCGGAAACTCATTATTTAGATCAGGAGTTACCAACCAGGGGGACGCGCCTGCCAAGGCGTTTGCATTTTAGAAAAAAAAAAACAAACGACATTAACAAATAACATTACAATGTAATGACTAATTTACTCACATAAAAATAAAAATTTAATATCATATTCACTTATTCTGTCAGCCGCTGTTTCAAAACCCGGCGTCGTCAATCGCAGTTCATGCAACTTGGAAAAGACATATGAAACCCGCGCGCATCCCCACCGCGCTCCACTTAATATTGATCACTTAGAAAACTATTGTGTACTTTCCAAACGCGGATGAGCATATGTGACATTCATTCCCACAAACTTGTGAATAATTTGACGTTTCGTTGTACATGTTTTGTTGAGAATCTGTTTGAGTGTGTCAAATTGTTCTGTCTCACAGTTAAAAGGTAAGTTTGTGTTTTTACAGACTTCAGTTACCATTTTTATTTAATTTACCAAATTGTCGATTAGTAGAGACGCGTTCATAGATCGGCTATTGGGACTTTTTTACCACATCACAATCAAACCAACGTGGCGAAATACTTTTGAAACGACGAACTTTAAGTACATCATATTGATTCCAAATGTATATGAATATTCAGGGGTTCATATCAAAGCTTCATCTTTGGAATCGAAAAGTGTCTTCTGAAAATGTTATATTTTTCTCTCGGCTGTTCGAAGCAATTAAAAATAACATACTGGGCGTAAATTTAAAAGCTGACACATTTGCAAGCGCTGGAAGACGAATTTCGCCGATACTATCGAGACATCAATTCAGAGTCACCAATATGGCACATGACAAGAAATCCATTTGTTGTCAATGTGTCACAACTACCAGAAGAAGTTCAGGAAGAATTTCTAAAATTAAGGCTGATTCGTCCATGAAGGATGACTTCCATCTTTTAGCATTAGAGAAATTTTGGATCAAAGATTGCCTGTTAATTCGACACTTGCCTCTCTTGCTTTACGAATATTAAAACTAAACGGCGAAATCGTCTTGATGTCGATAGCAACCTGATGATAACTCTGGCAAAAACAGAACCTAGAATCAACCAACTGGTACAGAACATGCAATCTCAAATGTCTCATTAGTACCTACTCTTATTTTATTCCTTTATTAGAATTAAAATAAAAATCTTTGTATCGATATAATGTACGTTTTTTTGTATTTATTGAAATAGTAAAGGGGGCATGAAAATATATTTTATAGTCCGGAGAGCTTCAGCAAAAAAAATGAAAAGGCTATGTTGAAAATTCTTTTTACAGCATGCGGATTTTATGCTGCCCAAACATGATTCTTATGTGGCCTCATCAGTGCCTCTATTCTTGATTTTAATAGAAAATCACACTCTCCCTCTTTTTCTACTCCCGCGGTTTTCTATCGATTTGAAAATACTGTATTCTTGAAAGGACTCGATAGAAAGGAGAAAGGAAATCAAGACACAGGGTTTTCAGATTTGGGTAAACGTGTTAAACCAATCAAAATGGAGATATTTTTGACAGTAAAAAAACTAACCAAAGATTTTGGTCATGATTTCCTCCTTATAATTTTATCTACGGAGCCGAAAACTTTAAAAAACACATTTCAAATGAACAAAAGGACAAAATGATTGAATTTCTCCGGGAGCACCTGGGAAAATTCAATCATAGGTTAAAAGATACTGTTTTAGGATGACTAAAACTTAATATCTACTCATCTACTCTTGTCTTTGTTGTGATCGAAAGTGCAGAAGCTCATGGGAGTGGTTATATGAATGGAGTCAATATCTCCAGCAATTCATACACCAAATCTTTGGTCAAGCTAAACATATGTACACATTTTCGATCCGAAATTATGAAAGGATCTCGGCGCCCAAGAATATCTCTCCCAATCTCTCAGTTCTCAACATCCTCGTTAATAATATCGTTCCAATACATCAATTGATTGAAATTAACCAATATGTTTAGCAGGAACGATAATAACAATGCCAAATACACTTCAATTTTTAGGTTATATGGCGCTATTTTCTACTAATTTTTCAGGTTTCTCTTGGTCGGACCAAGAGAAATCGCGACTCCCTAAAGTGAATTCATTTCTATCACTTTCCGGTAGAATTGATTTCAAGAATACTGCATTTCTTGGCCACACCTACTTTTTGACACTTTCTCTCACAATTTCTACTCCCTCAAACTCAAGAATAGAGGTCCTGCACACAAAATTAATTTCCTAAAATTTAATTCTTGACGAATTGTTCGAAAAGCCACGGGCAAAATGCAACTTTTCTAGGATGATTTTCAGGTTGTAACGCTTGTACCCGTTAATAATGATAAGGATAACACTGTTATTATGCTACTTTTATATGGGTGATTTTTGTCCTACAAGTAGCTAAAATAATTTAAACAACTTTGAAAACCCTGTATAGTAATAATATAATATAATAAGCTGTTATATAATGCATATGTTTATTCAGAAGTTGAATATTGTGGTATTATCTCATACCCTTACTATGAATGGTATAACACAGCTACTGAAACAGTAGAGCGGATAGCGGATGTTTTCAAAATTTGTTTTGTTCAGGATTGGCATAACATATCCAGCGCGAGGTGCAATCAATAGGAACTGTGTAGTCGTTTGAAACAAAGTAGTGGCTGTGTGTCATTATTATTTGCTTACTATGGTAACTGTTCAATAATTTAATTTATTGCTCTACAATCCTAAGATAAATTAAAGTTAATAAAATCCAAATGCTGAAAAATTTTCGAGGAGTCCTTTGAAATTAGAATTAAAGAATCACATACCTACCTTCCTTTTTCAGTAAGATGAACCAGATTCAAATTCCTGAACCACATCGTTTTGGATATCCTGCTGTGTTCCCGAGTCGAATGATCGCTCCAATCCGGGCTCCATATCCAGTTACTATTGGCCCAGGTCCGGCTACAATTCCACCACTTTATCCTTACCCGATTTGGTTTAAAAACTGATTGGTGCAAGTACGGCAGCCAAAGGCCAACAATTTGGTAGACACGCCATGTGCGAGGCCGCCCTCTAACGATACGTTAATTACGTTCCCTTGTCCCACCTCAAGGAGTGTCGTCAGCATACAGTCTTCCCTTAAGTTTTCGCAACAGTGGCGTCTCGTGGCTCTATTTGCTTTGCGGCGGACCCTGCAGTTTTGAATAAGTTCAATGAATTGGGAATTCCTGGGCCACAATTCGAGATGTCCTCTTAAATAATTATAAAATTATACATAGCATTTAGGTAAAACAAACGGTGACTCTCTTCTGAAATTTTAATGTAATTTTATCAAAATTAGCTTTGTTGGAACTACGCAGTCTTTCGTTAGTTTCACCTGCTCCTCTCTAATGATAATTTCCAAACCGCATCTGTCAACGCGTGCGTCGACAGTAGAATCGTATCCAGCCTGGCGCACTTAACTCCTATCAGCTAGGGGAAAATTCTAAAAACCTAGCTGTTTGTCTCCTCTTTTTCATATTTTCCCACAATCATGACAAATATTAGTAATATGCTAGCCTTCGGAAGTCTTAGATATCCCATGATACGCCTCTGACGCGTGACCGTTCAGTGCCCGGGGTAGCTTCTAATGGTGCGTTTTCACGCTCATGCAATTTGCGCAAATTGACTTGTGCATGCCAATTTGTGCAAGTGAATTGGTACATGAAAACGAAAATTGTTTACTTGCGCAAGCCAAAAAGTTTATCTTGAGTAAAATCTGGATGGTCAGATAATTTGCATGTGGTTGGCACAAATGCATGAACGTGTAAACAACGCACCAATTCGACGCATGCGTAGTGGGTAAATAATAGTAAACAGAACGTGCACGTGGCTTTAATTTTCGGCTGTTGTACGGTATTTTGTTGTGATAAATAATGTCAAAGAAAGAAAAAGAGTTCATGGTAGAGTTTATGAGCTCTATAAATCTTTTCCTTGTCCTTGTCTGTGGAAGGTGAAATCAAAACAATACAGCGACAGAAATGCTAAGTCTAAGGCGTATGATATTCTCGTGGAAAAAATGCGCACAGTTGAAGAGAGTGCAAATCGAGAAATTGTAGTAAAGAAAATAAATTCTTTAAGAACGACGTACAGGGAAGAATTAAAAAAAGTTCTAGATTCTGAGAGGTCCGGTGTAGGCACCGACGATGTATACGTTCCACATCTGTGGTACTTTTCGCGGGACCAGGAAAGTCCAAGAACCTCTGTGTCAAATATGGAAGACGACAATGAAACGCAGGTAAATTTCTTGTTGTTATTTATGCACCTAATAATTCATTAATACATTCAGTGTTGGATCCACGGGGGGGACGGGGGACTGGGGAGGAATCCCCCCAAAAAAGGTTTCCACAATGTATGACATCGAGGTAGCACTGGAAGAAGTATTGAAAAGATTTTCTAAAATGGTCAAACATCGTATAAATTTCAATGTATAAAATTGATGTTAATATTTACATTCAAAATAAAAAATATTTCTCTTGACGCATTATCACAAACATTACATTTTCGAATTCCCCCCCCCCCCCAAAAAATTTCCTTCTGGATCCGTCCCTGAATACATTAGTAAGTGTCGTTAAATACTTGGGTTAGAAACCATTTTATGTTGCCATGAAACATTACCAGAATTATTGAAATAAATTTCAAAACTTTTCCTCACTTTTGCCTTCGGTAGTGTAGATTGTGACTGCTTGCAAGATCTAACAAACTGTGATTCTGTGTTCGCAGTCTCTGGGTAATGACACCAGTAGACGTATCTTCAACGTCAAGTACGTCAAGAGGTGTATATGAATTCACCGAATTTCTGCGTAGAAAATTGTGAAGTGCACAGCATGCCAAAACAACTTTGACAATGTTATCAGCTTTTAAATTAATACATGTATGAAATACTCTAAAACGATTAGCCAGAATACCAAAAGTATTTTCTACTACTCGTCTAGCTCTACTCAAACGGTAGTTGAACACTTTTTTTGGATAGTCCAGCTCTCTTTGATTATACGGTTTTAAAAAATCGTGTCGTATTGCGAATGCTTCGTCTCCTACAAACACATAATTCAATGTTGGTTCACCGGGTACAACTGTCTCTGGTGGTGGCAAATTAAGTTTATTTGCTGCCAAATACTTCATAAATTTGGTGTTTTCAATGACCCCTCCATCAGATACTCGACCGTTGGTTCCAACATCACAGTATATGAACTCGTAATTAGCATTTTCAATTCCCATTAAAACTATGCTGAAGGTTTTCTTATAATTAAAATAATATGATCCACTTCCTACGGGAGCTGTAATTTGCACATATTTGCCATCCATAGCGCCTAAACAATGTGGGAAATCCCATCGTTCTTGAAAATCCAGTGCAATTTTCTTCCATTCCTCTGTAGTTTTCGGAAACTGTAAAAAATAATTCAATGTGCATAACTACTAACTGTATCTTTTGTACGTAATATGTGGATCATTTACTAGTTTTTCTTTTTAGAATTCTGAGACACATGGAGTTCAGTCCGAAGATAATTCGTCTCAACCAGCCACCCCACATTCAATTATATCTGAACCACTTACACCTCGGCCAATACCACAAGCAACTTCTAGAGCAGCAAAAATGCGTAACGATAAATGTGATGAAGTCTTGGATGTAACTCAGAAACGCTTTACAATGCCTTCTGATGTTGACGCCAAGTTTACGCTCATTGGAAAAGCTTGGGCCTGCAAGTTAAAGGAACTTTCGCAAGTACAAGCAACTCGGAACTCTAAATCGTTATTGTACCTTGCATATACAACATCCATTATACAATCAGCAAATAGTACCGTGTTTACAACCAGGGTCATCATAAAATCATCAAATCACGCCATCTTTGCCGACGCCTCCTTTACAAACAGGACCATCCTCTCAGCACCAGATACAATCAAGTTCACAAACACTTCTGCGATCTTCTCTTTTTTTTGTCTTTAGGCACTTTTAACTTTTTAATTAAACAAACACCAGCTACTGCTAATAATTCGTCTTCGTAATCCATCTTCAGCTTTGCCCAACGACAATCTGAACTGTACTTTTTTAGACAAACTTGTCCATGATTCTGGGCCGGTAAACTGTACGTTAGGACGCTCACACCAATTCAGTTTAATTTGCGCAAATTTGCATGCATAAGTTGATTGGCGCAAATAACTTGAGCGTGAAAACGCACTATAACATATGCTAACCAAATGGTTGAGTTTCAAGTTTCTCAGCACTCCTTTAGTTGTAAAACTTTATAGTTATAGCAACCAAATGTTATTACAGAATAGATCTCCAAACCACGCTTTTGTCCCGGCCTAAATGTCCATCTTTATAGTATCCAGTTCTATTATCTGTTTTCTTCGAAATATGGATTTCATTTCCCTTGGCGTTCGCTGGGTGGTTTGCAGATGCGAGTGTTTGTTCTGTCCTTAGTTTTTATGTTTATTTTTATTTTATGGACGAATTTTTACAAGGGTAGGCAGCATGACGAATTATTTCAACGAATTTAGAAATTGATAACTTGGTTGGCTACAAAGCGCTTCTTGTTGGGATCGGTGGTGGGGGAGCCGACAAATACGACGGTGTTGCTCAATTTTGCTTAGCGTCATCCGCTATAAACAATCTCTAGAGATCTTATACCTCGAAACAACACATCTATTGCCAGAGTCCCAGATTATGCTGGCTTATTTTAACAGTTAATTTATTAGATCGAAGCAGTAAAAGAAGACAAAGGACAATTTATTCGTCAGACTTACCATAAAGTGGGCCAGAAAGTTCTTGTTTCGATGGGATGCAGCGTTTACCGTGGGCTGATGGACTGTCTAAATTAGCAAAAATGTTTACTTAAGTTTCCTCATCTACGCCGACGTCAAACAGAGACGAGACAGAGACCTCATGTGACAAAAACCATAAATGTTGGCAGAACTTTTTAAAGCTTCTTTTAAAATATATTTTTCAATTGTTTCGTAAGAAGCATAAATCCTCGTTAAGTGCTTATACCGCTGAAATGCATTGCAACCACGGTTTCACGTATGTTATAATGATGAACAGACAGATATCTAACAAAGCTACCTTATTCTTATTAGAAAGTTTGAGCCCTTGTACTTGATAATGCTATTTTTAATGAATAGATTGCTCTGGCCATCCATCGAGCTCGATGCATGGCGCCTGGCGGAATCCTGAAGTTTTTCTCTGTAACCCCGCCAAGGAATATTATTGAAAGTTCTATTAGTTCTCGTCTAATTTGGTTCAATTTCTGCATAAGAACGTCTGATAGCTGTCGTTTCGCAGATTGGATAATTCTGCAGGAACATTGTGAAATAACCTTTCCTTTGTTTCAGTCGGTCAGCTTAGGTTCATTATCCTGCGAAAAGATAGATGATAGATATTTCATTGTTCCCCATTTTTTCAGCAATGTTATTCAAGTTATTGCACAAAATGTCAACAAACTTGTCTGTACATAGTGCTTTCCAATACCATTCCACGACATAAAGCCACAGACAAAATTTACCTGCCACCATGTTCCACTGTTAGGCTGACATGTTGATATTCTTATTTATTTATAGATCTTACTTATATATATGGGAAAAAACATTATTATACATTATGATGAGGAAGAGAGATGGAAATATACAAAAGTATGTAGGTGCGTGAAAGACACTCGATTGTAGGATCCTATCTGGCAGCGTCGGAGTGTGACGGACAACGGGGTAAAGTAGAAGAATGATAAAAGAGAGAGGCAGAACGGGCGCTGGCGCCCGCTGCTTAGACGGATGCGCTCAACAAATGCGATTTGTTTCTCCCATTCGCAGAGTTGCCGATACCAGTATGCCATATTTCTAAGAAATCTAAGTCTACCCAAATTTCGGGAAAAATAGCTGCGGATTCTACATAAGAGTATTCCAAAAATGAAAAAAGTTCAAACTATTAAAATTGTATTAATGTTTCATGGTTCAAATCATATTTTTCATGTTTGTATATTGTTGTATAAATGATTTTGTAATCCCTATTCTTGTCGCCAGTAGAAATACAACAGTATTGAGAGAAATCATGGACCGCTAGATAGGGCTACAACTACCATATGACTATCAAATAGTAGTGATAAACAGGGTTTGTTTATAGCCGAGTTGCCTGGTGTGGCGAATTTGCGCCACAGGGGCGATTTGACAACTTTGAAGGACAACTATAACGGGTACTATGGTGCCCGGTATTCGGGAATCTGGCAATATCTGATGATTCCTAACGTTTATTACGCCAGATTGTTTGCTGACTTGCGCAGTACAACATGACAATCAACGTGACTGAGCACCTGGTAACCCTGGTTTAAGGTGTTATATTAAAAAGCTTGGGGCAGTTAGGTATCTAGGTCACATTTTTTAATGTATTTCGAGAAATCCGTAATGTTGAGTAAATACTAGATCACGTTTCTTGCTTAGTTTGCCGAAAATTCTACAATAGACGTACATTTTGAGAAACAGAGATTTGGTTACGACAAAATCTTAAAAATATAACGCATTTTCGTAAAATAATTTCTTTGTTGAAAAGACTGTGGCTTGATGACCCATTGAACGAGGATAGTGTCCCGCTCCGCTTTGAATATTCGAAACACTATACTCCAGCAGCACTCAGCTTCAATGTTATCTTTATGAAGTTCTAAAGTCTAGGCCATGCTGATTAAAAGCTTGAATGAATCAACACTTAACTCTAAATTCCCCACAATTCGGGAAGCTCTACTCAAATTGGCAACACAGCGTATCTGCCTATTATTCTCATTGAGTCGATAGAAGAAGTACAGTAGATGCGCGCATTACGCACCAGTTCGATTGGACGTCCTGTGAACCGATTTCGCTGATTTTGAGATTTCACGAAATCACCTACATCACTCTACTTATTTTTATGAATGGATAATTGGTTTTGTAGCAATAAAGGTTGCGTCTCAGAACAAAAATAACAAAAACAAAACATAACGTTGCGTCTCATAACAAAAAATAGTACACTCTTAAAAATGTGTAACGAAAATAAAAGATATTCTAACAAAAAAATAAGTTCTCAAAAATGAAACGCAATAATAAACACAAATGTTTCAAATGGTCCTTCACAGCTGGGGCTCAAAAACGTCTCCTTCATTCAATGAACAGTATGTCAGGCAGTTATAAAACTCCTGACGAACTCTCCAGAGGGTAGAAGGCTGTATTTGCCCGAGCGCTTCAACGATTTTCACCTGTAGGTTATGCAAATTGTCTGCTCTCTCATTGAAAGTGTAAACAGTACTTTTCACATAACCTCACAAGAAGAAATCATTGGGCGCTGGATCGGGTGATCTAGGAGGCCATTTTATTGTTCCGTTACCGCCAATAATCCGCTGGCCGAACACACTTTCAAGGTAAGTGTGTACGATCGCCGCATTATGCGCCGGGCATCCATCTTGTTGGAACCAAATATTAGCGAGATCAATGCCAAGCTGCCTAATTGCAGGAACAATCTGCGTCTGTAGTAACGCCAAATATTTTGCAGCCGTAAGAACGTAAAGAACGGTCCGATAATGTTATTACCTAGAATTCCTGCACACACATTCAGTTTCTGTGGATACTGCGTCGGACGGGAATACTGAGGTGTTTATTTTCCTGAGACCAATACCGAACGACTGAAGGATTGTGATGACCGTGGAGAGGGAATGTTGGTTCATCAGTAAACAAAATGTTACCAATAAAACTTCCATCCCTGTTCGCCTTCTCCATGACCGTTTCACAAAACTAGATTCGACGGTATTTGTCTAAAGAAAATATTTCTTGAACCGTTCCAACCTTGAAGCTATGATAGCCGTTGCGATGCAAAATATTTCTAGTTGTTCTGGGTGTGAGATCGGCTATTGGTATCATTTCAGCAATTTTTCTGCTTGAGCATGGCTCAGATACTTCTGCAGCGGCACAAACAGCAGGTTCGATCTCCTGCCTTTTCTCGCTAATTTTTGGTTTCCAACCTTCAGGGTGCATGCAGCTATGGCACTTATGTAAGCAGCCCACCCTCTTGAATTTTTCGTAGGTATTTATAACCGTTGCGTGAGACGGTGGATGTACCAATCTATCATTTGAAACTTTTCTTCTTGCGAGTACATTTTTAAGATATTTTGGATTAAATAAAGACGCACCTTTCCTACACAAAACCCAACCGCAGAGTGAGTCATAAATCCCTTATCGCACTTGACAACGGCACGCGCGTTATCGGTAGGAAATATGTACGAATAGCGATGAAAGTAGACGAGCCGATGCGCTGTTGCCATGAAATGATTTCCCATGTATAACAATGGTTTTTCCTAAGGTGTATATATACATATCCTTGAAATTCTTTGGGATGAATAAAAAGTTTTGCAGAAGTATGCCATTAACTTAAAGTCAAGTTTGCGACGGTCTATGCCATCATCATCAAGGGACTAGGACAAATTTTGGAAAGTAGCAACAATATGTAATTGAAAGGAGTATCGTTATTTACTGAGTCGGTGAGATTTGTTGCTGAAATTGTTGTTAGAACGAAGTAGAAGACAACACATAGTTAATGAGCAAAAAGCTGAATTGTTGAGGTTAAATTAGGAAGAGCTTATTTTAATTAATAATTATTGGTAAAACCATAGCTATGCTTGCTTTTTTCAAGAAAACACTGACGGATTTATTAACTTATTGAAAAAACTTTCGAACAATAATTTTTACCGGAAACCACTTCGTCTTTATCACGTGCTGAAACTGACGAAATGGATGAGTGACGTGTGACGTTCACATTATTGACACACCATCGATCAAGAGAAAAAAGGAGAGAGAGAGAGAGAGAGAGAGAAAAGAAAGGGATAGAAGACCTATGATGTGTTGCCTACCTTGTATGGAAGTGTTAAGATGAAGGTGGTTACAGCATAAAAAGAAGTTCAAAATCTATTTTCAAATTAATAAATATCATTATGGATGGAG